CACCATCGGGAGCCCAGGGGTGCTGGAGCAGCTGCTACGGCAGGAGGGCAAGTACCCCATGCGGAGCGACATGGCCCTGTGGAAGGAGCACCGGGACACCCGGCGCCTGCCCTACGGACCCTTCACCGAGTGAGTCCTGCCCTGGCTGTGCTCTGCAGGGTGGCAGGCAGCTCCTGCCCCTTCCTTGGGTGTAGGGTCCAGGTGGCAGCTCGCATTGCTCCCTTTCCTGCAAGCAGCATGTCACTCCCCAAGCAGAAGGGCACGGTCATGGGGGGGAGGAAAGATCCCCAGGGTGGTTCCAGCCTGGCATTGGGAGGGTGCTCCCAGGGTTTGGGAAGTTGCTGCCAGCCACTGCCCCTTGCCTGGCCGTTCCTCCTGTGCTGAGCCCCATCCCTGCGCAGGGAAGGGGAGCGCTGGTACCGCCTGCGCCAGGTCCTCAACAAGCGGCTGCTGAAGCCCTCGGAGGCGGTGCTGTACGCAGATGCCATTGGGGAGGTGGTGTCGGACCTGATGGTGCGTCTGCGGGACGAGCGAAGCCGCAGCCCCTCGGGGGTGCTGGTGGGGGACGTGGCCAACCTGCTCTACCGCTTCGCCCTGGAAGGTAGGGGGGTCCTCGCCTTTGCCCTGCCCTGCTCTTTCCATCCCTGTGGGGTCTGGATGCAGCCTGTCCCCCGCAGGGATCTCCTATATCCTCTTTGAGACCCGCATCGGATGCCTGAAGCAGCAGGTCCCCGCTGAAACCCAGCGCTTCATCGACTCCATCAACCTCATGTTCAAGAACTCCATCTTTGCCACCGTCCTGCCCCGATGGAGCCGCAAGGTGCTGCCCTTCTGGGACCGCTACCTGGACAGCTGGGACACCATCTTCGCCTTCGGTGAGCGGTGATGGTGGGGGCCCAGCACAAGGGGATCAGACTCCCTAAGGACCCTCAAAATGGGACAGTCCCCGTCCATGTGTCCTTTTGGCCACCCTCGCTCCGTCAGTGCTGGGTCCCGCTCTCTGTCCCTGCAGGCAAGACCCTGATTGACCGAAAGATGGAGGAACTGGAGGGGCAGGGGGAGCGGGGCAAGGAGGTGTCCGGCTACCTGAGCTACCTGCTGGCCAGTGGCAGGCTCAGCCTGGATGAGGTCTATGGCAGCGTGGCCGAGCTGCTGCTGGCTGGTGTGGACACGGTGAGGGCCGGACAGCCCCTGCCAGGGGATCCCTGCTGAGCTCCCTGCCAGGGAAACCTTAGGGTCACGGTCAGGCATGTTCCCCAGCCCCTGCGAGCTCTGGGCTGGTGGGTTGGAGGGTTGATGCCCCATAGGGGCAAACCCTCAGGGATCAGTTGGTACAGACCCTGTCCTGTGGTCTGCTCCCTGCCCTGCTCCCTGCCTCAGTTTCCCCCGTGCTTGCTGCCCCTCACCCCTGGTTTCCCTGCGCACCGGAGCAGGGGCTGCCTGGTGCCGTGCTGCTGCCACACCTGAGCCAAAGCTGCTTGGGTACCGGCCCCATCCCCCTCACTCCCTCTGTGCTCTCCTCCCCCAGACCTCCAACACGCTGTCCTGGGCCCTGTACCACCTCTCCCGGGACCCAGGCATCCAGGAGACCCTGTACCAGGAGCTGAAAGCCGTCGTGCCCGCTGACCGGTTTCCTGGTGCTGAGGATATCCCCAAAATGCCGATGCTTCGGGCCGTTATCAAGGAGACACTGAGGTACAGCCCAGCCTTGCCCCTGCCCAGGGTCCCTGTCAGCAGCCTCTTCCCCAGGGCCGGGGGCAGCCCCTTCTCCCCCTGCCATCAGGGCAAGCACCAGCCGGGGTAGCTGGCCACGGGGGACCTGGAGGCACCACCCCGGCCGGGTGGCGGGA